GGAGAAAAATATAACGAGCAGCCAGAGAACAGCAGTTAGACTAACGGGTAACTTCTTGATCACAAGAATGGATGACAGAGAACAGTGGAATAATATCTTTGATGTGCTGAAAGAAAATAACTGCCAACTCAAAATTCTATATCCAGAGAGAACATATATTTCCAGAATGAGGGAGAAAGAGAGACATTTTGAAAGAAACAGACACTGAGACAGATTGTCACCACAAGACTCTTACTACAGGACTTTCTCAGAATATATTTCAAACAGAAGGAAAAGTGATCCTAGAAGGAAGACCTAAGATGCAGGAAGAAATAAATAGCAAAGAACAGGGCAAATATTTGGCAAATGTAAACCAACAGTGACTCTATAAAAAAGAATAAATAATGTCTGATGGTGTTAGGAAAAAAAAAAGAAAAGAAAGAATTAAAATACCAGACAGCAATAGCATAGACATTAGGAAGGGGATAAATGTATTAAAAATGTTCTAAGGTAATATTTTGGAAGAGGTAAAGGGATTGGATTAGCTTTAGTCTTTGATAAGTATCAATGTTGTAATCCTAGGCAAGCCACTAACAGAAGAGAAACAAAGTACATCACTCCCAAACCAGTAGAGAAAAATATGAAATGATAGAAAAAAAATAAAAGGAAAGAAAAAACAAGACATATTTAGAGAAAGAGACAAAAGAAACATACACCATGATTCCATTTATATAAATTAAAAACCAGACAAAGTAAACTACGTTTTTTAAGGGTTACGGCTATAGATGGGAAAATAATGAAAGGTGATAAAATAACAACTAAAATGCAATTTAACTCCGTGGCAAGGAAAAAGGCTGTGATGACGTAGAGACAAATGGCAGGGGGTGGGGCTTCTGGAGGGCTGGCAGAGTCTACCCTGACCTGGGTGGTAATTATGGAGGATTCTGATCAATAACTGTTAAAGTATTACATAAACATTTTATACGTTTTACTAAAAAATGGCTTCTGCACTATTTTCCAATGACAATATAAATATATTTTTTTTTGGTGAGGAAGATCAGCCCTGAGCTAACATCCATGCTAATCCTCCTTTTTTTGCTGAGGAAGACTGGCCCTGAGCTAACATTATTGCCAATCCTCCTCCTTTTTTTCCCCTTTTTTCTCCCCAAAGCCCCAGTAGATAGTTGTATGTCATAGTTGCACATCCTTCTAGTTGCTGTATGTGGGACACCGCCTCAGCATGGCCGGAGAAGCGGTGCGTCGGTGCACGCCCGGGATCCGAACCTGGGCTTCCAGCAGCGGAGCACGCACACTTAACCGCTAAGCCACGGGGCCGGTACCCAATGACAATATTTTAGAATTTTAAAGTGAGTTACAAATGATTGGTAGTTGCCGGGGGGAGGGGGAGGTGGGGAGGGAGGGGGGTGAAGGGGATGGTTCGGTACATGTGTGTGGTGATGGGTTGTAGTTGGTGTTTTGGTGATGAACATGATGTAATCTGTGCAGAAGTGGAGGTGTAGTGATGTACACCTTAAATTTTTACAGTGTTGTAAACCAATGTTACTGCAATAAACAAAAAATTAAAAAAAATACAAATCAGAATATATAAAAAACTATGATAATATGAACACTATCCTTTCCTTCATAATCCAGGAAATCCAGATCTAGGGACATCAGTGGTTTCAAAGGCTCCTCCTCACAGGAGGGCACGCCAGTCTGGACCAAACACTCTCTGGTTTGAGGCGGAGAGAACAAAACAGAGACAATGTTTATAGACATAGAAGGGGGACAGTTTCCTGTTTTGATAAAGACTGTCTTGCGTTCTGAGGTTTTATCCTACCCAGATTTGGGGTATTTTATAATGTCCTTTCCATTAGGAAGTGACAGTGGTAGGTTACTTTTTAATGTCCTGATTAAAAAGAAAAACAGAATAGGTCAGTCCTCCTTTTCTTTTAAGGTCACCAAGGACCCAGAGTCGATGAGTCTCTAACGTACACACACCAGTGAAGTGATTCTGTGTCTATTTTCAGGGGGGGCTGTTTTTGATAAAAATGTGACTTGGTCATGAACTGAAAGAACCTCAGTGAGAAAGAAAGATAGCCAAGCATAGAAAGTGGGATCAGGCACAACGTCTTGTGACGTGGTATTAAATGTGAAAGCCCTAAGAGTAAGAGCCTATGGAGGAAGACGGGGGCCCCAGGAAAATATATGTGGACATGCAGGAGGTTATGTCTAGAGCCGCAAACAGATGATGGCTTCATTTTCAGAATTATTCAGTGTTCAGACACAAGATTTTGTGCTGCCTGTGGATACATATTTCTCTTTTTGGAGGCCATACATGCTGTTGTTTCTTGAACTCATTTATTTTCTCTTCTATACATGTCTGAATCAGTTCAAGTGCAAAACTAATATAGTGTAATAATATGCTATATTATACTCTACATTATGCAATATGGAATATATTTATATTTTTAGTAGAGTATAATAGAATATAATAATTATTTCACAACTTCTATTTTTTTAATTAACTAATTTCATTCCTTACTAGTTCTGTTGATGAGTATCACTATCCTCATTTTATAGATAAGGATTCTGAAGCTCAAAGAAGTTGAGTAACTTGGTCAGCTCCTACACAGCAAAACTAGAGTGAAGTCCTCTGTGGTTGAACTTCAAAGTCCTACTCTTAGCTACTCTGCTGCTTTGTCTCTCCACTGAATTAACATTCAAAGATCATTCCTATAAAGATTAAAATGCCATTTACCCTTTTAAACCACATTCTGCACTCACTCAGGCAGTTTTTACTGACCCCTTGGAGGGAACGACAGACTTTTTCCCAGAAGCACAATGAACAATACCAGGACATGTTTAAGGGGGTACAAGGGAAAATCAGAAACTTGAGTATACATCTCTTTCAAAATAAAACCACAGCATCTTTAATCAAGGCCTGGCAATCAACGTATCGTTTCTCTGAGACTGAAACCGGTAAATGTGGGCTATCCCACTAGGCCTTTAATACTTGGTTAGAAATGTATCCAAGAAGTTGACTAGCAAGACAATTCATGCAGTACAAACAGGAATCTGTAATTCTCTTCCCCAGTACCACAAAACACAGTTAGTTCCTGCCCTGAATTCACTTTGAAGACAATGAGTGCCTGGGAGAAACCATAAGACCATTGAAAATAAGGCCAAAAAAATGTTAACGAATTTCTTCTAAAAGTAAAATCTACTGTCAATTTCCAATTCTGAAATTTGAATGGGAGGCATGCGATTAGTGAGCTGAATTGCAAGGTTTGCCTACAATCTAAAAGGGAGTTTTTTTTCACCTGTATAAAATTAAGCAGCTGACAATTATATCTCCTGGTAGGAGAAGATTAAAATAATAAAATAAAAATAAACCAAATGCCTTAATTTGAGATCTAATCTCTACCATTATGCCAGCACATTCAGATAAACTCTGCTCCAATGGAATTCTTCTCGCCCAGCAGGACACAGACCATCTTCTCAGCAGCCAAACTCCACAAGGCAAGGGACTTGCCTCCCTTCCTGACTTCTCCCTTAGAACTCATTCAAAGGGAAGACAAAGGACCTGCGAGTAGACGGGAGTAGTTTTGTGCCTGGCCCTTAGGGGTACTTTATTTTTCTTAAAAAGATTATCTCAACCTTACTGTAGCCAAAAATAAAAACAAAACAAAATCCTAAAACAAATTTCTGAGGCAGTTTAAATTAAAAATACAAAGGACTGAGATATATGTTTAATTTATTCATAATTAGTTTACAGATTGGACTGCACTGAGACTCCAAAATCAGCAAGCCACTTGGGGATAAAGGCTATTGCAATTATCAGGAGCAAGCCAAATGCTACCTTTTGTTCTTACTAAAATCTTCTCCTTTAAAAAAACATCTCCTAGCAAATGATTTTCTATTTCCTATTTAAAGAGGATTACATAGCAAACGGGACTAGTGGCTGGAAAGCAAAGAACTTTCCATCGTTTTATTACCTGCCAAATACAAATTAGTTCATTGTGGTTAACTCCTGCCAGGCGACCCCTTTCCCTGCCACCCATCAGGCCAATGGGGTATGGCAGGTTGGTTCCTGCCTGGAGTCCTTCCTAATCAGGAAGCTGTCAGATATGCTGCCTGCCCACTCTCTCCTACATCGTGTGGCAGCTCTGGTGTTTGGGCAGCAAGGTTTTGAGCTTGAATTGCCCCAGTAACTAGCTCTGAATTGCTCCCACTTACTATCAATGTCAAATCTCTGTGGGCATGTGCGAGGCCCTCCTCCAGGTACAATAAAGAAACCCTACAAATTTCACTTTGTAATAACTATAGGATACAGAAATTGTATTAGCTCCATTAGATGGAGTCACAGAAATATTCGGAAAGGTTAGCTGGATATAGGGAATGTCACAGTTAGACTAAGATAAAAAATCACTTTGTTAACTTAGAGTGTTTCCTCATTGGTAACACCCTATATTAAGGTGCCATTTATAAACAGTTTATTATTACTTATTAATGTGTGAAGCACTCTATCTCAGGCTAGATAACAACTTAAATTCATGTATTAAAGATGCACATACATGGTTTAATACAATTTATGTCTTATAATATTCTTTAAAACAGCTTCCCATAGTCTCATCCGTTAAGCATTTAATACTAATGTATTTTATAATGTACTTTATAATACATTATTTGAGCCAGTAGCTGCATTTAGTGATCATTTCATAAATAAGAATAAAGCATTTATAAATGGCACCTTAATTTAAAGTGTTACCTTCGCATTACTAGATAGCTGCTCGCCATTCATCTCATTTTGTGATTATTCTCCAAATGCACCACTTAATAAAACAGACACTAAGTTCTATTTTCCCTTCATCTGATTAAAAGTTTATTGAGTCATTTCCTCTATCTGCTTTCAGATGCTGGTAGCTTGGAGGCTTTAGTGTGATTTCTGATAACCCTCAACTTTTAACTCCACAATATTTCTTTAAAGATGATAATAGTAGAAACAGAGAATGACCTACCATGTTAGACAGAGCCTGCTGCTTGGATTCTTTGTAAAATTCAATTGTTCGACTAGAAAGAACAATCCAGGAAGTAGACCAATTTTTTCTTGGGGAAAAAAAAAGAGAAAAAGCATTATCACTTGAAAAAATCATTTACAGATACAGTATGAGCAACATTTGGAATGAGTAGAGACCATCTTTATTTTTAACTAGAATTCCGAAAAGTCTTTTCTTTATTAAAATCTGTAGGTGGTGTGGAATTTGGGTAGCAATAAAGACATTCTGTAATTTTTAAAGATCATGGCATTTATAGTAAAATTTTTTCAATTTGTAGATCTTCCCAAAATCTTTTTCATCTACTAAAAATCAATTTTTGTGTATCCATGGCCCCACTCCATAAAAAATCCATGTTTCTACAGCCAAAAATAGCAAAGTGTAAAAAGGACTCAAAACCCTTTCCTTCATTGTTACTTCTCTTCATTGGTTTAGTATATTTCAGAGTCTGAAAAACTAACCAGCTAAGGTGTCACTGCCTAGTTCAAAATATTTTTTAACGTTGAATCTCACTAGAAATCAAATAAATGCAAACAAAAAGTGAAACGTTTTTTCCCTCTTTGCCAATCAAATTGGCAAGAATTAGAAGGAATAATACCAAAGGTTACTAAGGGTATGGAGAAATGGATTCTCATAAAATTTTGATGGCAGTGTAAACTAACACATCTTTTCTGGAGTGAATTTGGCAATACGTTTTTAAAAAATCTTTAAAAATGTGTATGTCTTTTGACTAAACAAGTCCATTCCTATAAATTTAAATTTATCCTAAAGGAATCATCTCATAAGTTGTTAAAGCTGTGTCCACAAGAATGAAGTGCATCATTATTTCTTAATTCTGCACCTAAAATATCAAAAAATAAGAGATTGGTTATGTAACTTGCATATAATAGATTCATATAATGGAATAATGAACCCTATGCTGTAGAAGAATTCTGATACGGGAAGATTTTAATGCAGACCACAATAAAATATGTACTTCATAACACCATGCTGTGCTATTTACCTAAGACTGTTCTCATCCATCCCAACCCCTTCTAATTATTATTATTATTTTTATTTTTATTTTTTTGGTGAGGAAGATTGGCCCTGAGCTAACATCTGTTACCAATCTTCCTCTTTTTGCTGAGGAAGACTAGCCCTGAGCTAACATCTGTGTCCATCTTCCCCTATTTTGTATATGGGATGCTGCCACAGCATGGCTTGATGGGTAATACCTAGTCCACGCCCAGGATCTGAACCTGCGAACCCCGGGCCGCTGAAGTGGAGAGTGGGAATTTAACCAGTATGCCACCAGGCCAGCCCCCAGCCCCTTCTAACTATTAACTCTCTTTCGTCGGAAGTTCAAATACTACATCCTCAAATGTGCCTTCCATGACTCCCTCACATAGCACTTATGATCAATTAAAAAATAATTTTTGTAAATTTCACCTCTATCTCCTCCATTAAAATAAAAAAAAGCGCAGAATGATAGAAAGCATTTTATCTTTACAGAGGTATCCCCAAGCACCTAGCACACTGCCTTGGAAGAGCAGGCGCTAAATATATATTTATTGAGTCAATGATTGAGCTTAGGCATGGGGCAAAAAAGCTGGATATAACAATAGTTAAATCAGGTGGTGAAATCACAGCTTTCAATGTTCCTTTGTATTTCGTCTTGTTTATCAAATTTCCTGCATTAAACATGTATCACCTCAATAATTATATATGTATATTCATGTCACGAAGAAGGCCCTTTTTTAGACGGTAAAACATTAAGGAGATTAATATACAGAACTTTCTATCCATTATCTCATATTGCTACTGTTTGCTTTGGTTTAACACATTTCAAAATAGCTAAATTCAGTCTACAAAAGTGGTCAAAAAAAGTTTACAGAAAGACTTTATTCAGGTGAATAAAAAACTACACAAAAATATGTTTAAAATGACCGTTCATGATCTTTGTGTAATTTATTTCCACTTGCCTCTTAGAATCTACGGGCTTGATTGAAAGGATAGCTTTGATTCAGTAAAGTTAATATTTACAACAAGATTAAGTTGCTGTTACATGCTTGAAGCTTTGTTAACGCTTCACCATTGTGTTAAAAAAAACAACACATTGGCACCAGCCCCGTGGCGTAGCAGGTAAGTTTTCGCGTTCTGCTTTGTAGGCCAGGGGTTTACCAGTTCAGATCCTGGGCAGGGACATACTCACTGCTCATCAAGCCATGCTGAGGCAGTGTTCCACATAGAAAAGCTACAACGCTACAACTATGATACACAACTATGTAGTGGGGCTTTGGGGAGAAAAAACAAAAAAAGAAAAAGAGGAAGATTGGCAATAGATGTTAGCGCAGGGCCAATCTTCCTAAAAAAAAAACACAATAAACAGAAACAAAAACACACTTTGTATTTTTCAGCATGCAAATGTGAAAACTATGTTCTCAGATCCACTAGTCTTCAAATGAAGAGTCACTTTTTCAATCAAATGATGAAAAAGGTGGGAAACAAAAATAACAGAAAGAAAACCACCTAGACCTTTTCTATCCTTCACCCTAGTGCCCATTTCTCTTTTTAGGCACTAGCAGCAGCAAGGTGAATTGGAGCAGCCATAGCTTTCTCTTTATGCAGGTCATAATACTAGATGACCCCAGATAGACAAAAAGGAAACACTGGAAAGACTGCTAGTCTAGACTGGGCATCGTTTATCTCCACTCCTTATGTCGACGGTATGTGATCAGGGAGTATGGAACACCCTCAAACATGACGGAACCCATATTTAACCTGCCTCTTATATTTCCCACTATATTTTTCTCTCCTGGCAGGGAGATACTATACCTTATTTGCTTCCTGTATATAGCAAGCCCTGGATAAATGGTTCTGATTTGAATCTTTTTCAGATGTTGATCGTTTACAGAATGTGTTGGCATTACTCTCCCCTTCCTTAAACTTGGAGCTGGAACTGGTTAGAACTGAAGTTGCATGAAATTCAATTATCTCGTGGTTCTCTGTTAGGACTCTGAACTGCTGTGAAATGTTCCCTGTTAGGTGAATCTGATGAACAAGCCAAAGAGGGTAAAAACTGCAGGTTTTGGAGCCTTAGTAATATAAATTTGCTCTGACAGTTAACATACAGTGCTATTTCGTTTTGAATCTGTAAACTAGAAACAATGTCTTTATGGTATTAGAATAAAAGTGAAGATTTTTACAATTTGTTTAAAATAATTTCATTTCAAAAGGAAGAATAAAATGCTGTTATCAACCTTAGATGCTCTGATTTCATTTCAGTTTTTTCCATGATCTCTTTTAAAATTACAACTAATGTAAATTATTTTGAGTACCTAGTATAAATTTGATTGTCTAGTGGAGATTTAGCGTCACAAAAAAGATGATGAAGGTAGTAATATGTCCATTTCCTAACAGGGAAAACAAGGTTCAGAGAGTTTAGGTAACTTATTTAAGACCATACACTTAGATTTGAGTCAAATCCAGTTTCTCTGATTCCGAAACCTGTAGTCTGTTCACGAATTTATGCTGTCTTTTTTTAAGGGTTAAGCAGTACTGTCTAGGTTAAGGAGATTGTCAGTGTCAGATTTTGCCATAGTTTGGTCAAAATTCTCAAATTATAAAAGCTAGTGTGCACAGCCTGTGACAAGGTACAAGCCATCTGGGCTCTCTTATTAACTATGTTACCAGATGCTGATTAGAGGGGTTGGGGAAAGGCCTGCCACTCCCAAGCTCTTTTCTTCCCTTTGAAATTGCACTGATTTAAAGGAGTCACGTGATAGACTATTCAACTCCTCATAAGAAACTGGCAGCGGGGGTGTGCTCCTGATGGTGGCATCTCTGTCTCTTTCCTGCTCGGGGATTATTCCGGTCTGTGATGAGCAGACTTACCTGCACTCAGTAGGGAGCATAAAACCAGAAAGCAAGTCAAAAACCTCTAGTCTGGGAGTGGCTGAGAATTCACCTAATGGGAACAACTTTTAACGTTTGGAACCTTGCTCCCTGAACGAAGTCCTCTAGAGACTTGACCATTTTCCTCAAAATATCTGTCCAGTTGAGTCTCATCTGATGGGTTTGGCACATTGTGTTGCCTGTAGTTCTCGGGATATCTGTGGAAGAGCTTTCTCACCCAGTTACTCTAACGCAGTGAGCCTTTTGACGGCATTGTCAGCTCTGGAGAGAGTGTGAAAAGGGTCAATTGGCAGGATTTTGCTGTGACTTGAACCTGTAGTGCTTTCTGTATGCAACCAAATCCTTATAGGCGATTGTTGTTCAGTATATTAAGAGACAGCTCAGGAAGTGAGTTACTCCTGCAAGCTTAGAGGGCTTAGCCAGGACAGGTGAGTCTAGCAGTTTCTGTTGAAACTTTTAAAACAGACCTTTCAAGGATGAAGCAATTTTCAGAATGGAAAGAAAGTCCCTGTACTCCCCTAGCTCCCCCAAAGAGATGGACACCATCCTTAATCTCTTAGAGCTTTCCCACTTCTGGGTACATTATCTGACATTTAGTAGGTGCTTATTAAAGGTTTTTGAGTAAAAGAATATACGGGTTCTCAAATTTCAGGAGGGTCATACATCTGGACTTTTCCTACTCTGTGTTCGCTGTTATTCACCAACAAGGACTGCAAAAGCCCCCACCTCCTGCATTTCTCTTCTCTGTCCCTTAGTTCCCTAGTGTTTTGATATGTCATTCCTAGCATTTTTTAGAAATCATCTAATGCTTCTGGTTTAATACATTTTTTTCTAATTTATAATTCTAGTGGCAATATCTGAGCTTCCCTAGAGGTCTTCCTAACTTCTCAGACGTACCAATAAGATGAGATATTATGCATGTATTGGTCCCACTCTGCCCTAGGTGTGGCACCTGGTATTTTGTATGTGTCAAGTAATTTAATCACTAAGCCAGCCACAAGCATCTATTGAGCATCTACCACATGATAGACATAATTCCAAGGACTGAATATATAAAGGCAAATAAGAGAGACCCCAAGGAGTTTACCTTTAACTCAGGGGAGACAGGCAATAAACAGGGAAACAAATCCTCCAAACAACACTGGGGCGTGGGTGATA